ATTGATCTTTCTACTTCCTGCCAAAAATCTCGCAGAAACCATCTTGAATTGACAATACAGAAATATCAGTCATGCTACCTGTTCAAAACAATTGTCACATCTTTTACTTAGTTTCCCAAACCTAGAAGTTCAACAGAGTGATATGAAAGTACAGAGGCCCTACTTAAGTCACTGCTAAGAAGGGGATTAATCTGCTGTTCCCTCTTTCTCATACAAATGTTAGAAGGCAAGGAAGCAGATGTGAAGGCCAGCCACGACTTCAGGAACACTGTGATACCGAGCAGACCAGTAAAAGAGCAAGACACTGATTAAGAGTTAACTGTATGGGGGCAGCAAAACAGTAAAGATGACCAGTAACATGGCAGATGGGAGTTGTTTTTGTACATGTTTTGCTATCTTTATGGTAATCAGCAGCTTACTACATGCTTTATTGGATGGACTGGGCCTGAAGAGTATATAAAAAGCTTTTACAGTTGCATTAAGACTCATCCTTAAATCTTTTTCCACTTTGTATCATCCCTCTAGTTACCTTCTAGCAGGGCAAGTTAGGCTTCTAGGTAAAGCTCACAGTACTTTTTCTTTTAAGAGAAGTGTTTGAAATACCCGTATTTGAAAGAGGCTGCTTTGCCCTACATGAGACCAAGAGAATAACAATCATTATGAGCTACTTTATCTTTTAAAGCTTATGTTTTATCTTGTGTGGAAGCATCCAAGCCTACCAGGAAACACTGCAAAGTACAGGATTGCATAATTCAGCAGCATTTTGCTCGTGTAATAGTTTTGCATGAGGAATTACATGCCTACAGACCACACAAAGCTCCTTTCAATACTGTATAACTTACTTATCACTACAGCCAACCTGACAGAGAGAACCTGACAGTTTAAGATAAAGAAACTTCTCTGCCCAACCAACCGTAATTAAGATCAACATTTAAAAAAATGCAAGACAGAAACAATTAAAAAGATAAATTAAAAAATTAACTGCCTTAAAATGTCAGCACCTACCAAGCAAAATTAGCATTCAGAGGATACAAGGATTTTCACTTTCTGATCTACTATTTAAAAGAGTATATATGTGCATATGACACTTCAGTAAGAAAGAGCAGCAAGGCTCCATTCCTTCACACAACAGTATCTTTTTGCAGTTTACAGGTGTAACTCACTGGATTAATGCAACACAAATTATCTATCCTCACTAAGAAAAGAGCTGAGTGGTCACTTTGAAGAGGGTGTTTTTCAGATTTGGGGAAAAAAATTACAAGGAGCTCCATTCTACAATTGTTAGATGTGTTTTGTTATAGATAGTGCTCAGCACAGAGGTGCCAGGAGAGAAACACAAACTAAACACTAAGAAACAAATTAGCTGTGTTACTCACTGATACCACACTAGACCTAACTTCTCAGTCCGTCCTAAGCCTTTCCTTCCAAATGCAGACAAAACACGATACCCACTCTGTTAGTCCCACTCCTGTTTTGTACCACAGCCTTCACTTTTCAGACAGCGTAATTGAGCAGCAAAATAAAATTGATTGCATCTTGGTTGCTGGGTCCAACTGGCAGGCTTCAGTCAGAACGACTTCTCCAGAGTAAGCCAGAACAGTTTTCCAAGACTTTTTTTTTTTCCCCTCATATAAACACCACCATGACTCAAAGATGTGTGTGCTGCTACTGCTGACAGCTAACTGTTCAACACAGCCTTTCAGCTGGCATGTGATAACTCCTGTTTGTAGGGCAGACCGCTGCAGATGATGAAATAGCCTCCTCTTCTCCCGGTAGCAACACTCCAAAACCCTACCACCATCTTCCCACCTTGCAAGAGCAACCATCAACAGCAAAGGTGATTTTTTTCAATTACTGCTGGATGGTTCTACTATATGTTCTGAGTTTACTACAGTACAACACACCCTTGCTTCGAACACAGCAGCAAGCAGGAAGAAGTTGTACAGATATTGGACCCTTTTAAAAGCAGAAGGAATTTTAAATAAGTCCAGGAAATTCTAGCACGATGAAGTCACTGAAAAGAAAAATTTAAAACTGGAATCACAATGGTACCTTAATCAGATTATACAAGATTATTTTCTTTACTAGGTACTGTATGTAGAAACACATGAAAGCAGTATCATTTGTAATGTGAATCTTATCTTGTGTTGTAGATTAACTACTCGTCTTGTGCCAAAGTACTAGTAGGAATAAAAAGAATTACAGAATGACAGTGAGATGCATTTTGGGTTCCTGTTAGCAAGAAAGAAAACAACCCCCATTTAATTCTTTTTTTTTAGGATTTTTATTGAAAACATTAAAATAAAAAAATTATCAAGGCCAGTTTTACAATAAATTTAAGACATACAGAATGGCTTGCCTGCTATTTAGATTTAGGAACCTCATTCCAATATTTTTCTCATGCAACTGCTGGATTAAAATCACATTCTCATTTAACATCAAAATGGATTAATAATAATGCTTTCTTAGGATTTAAATTTAAAATCCAGTTTTAAAAGTTAATTTTCCAAAGGTTAAAAACATTTACACAGCAAGATTCCCACCTTCAAAGGCCAGCTAATAGCTTCCTGCATCTGATAACTGGCAGAAATAGAACACATAGCTACTTTTTCTTATTCTCACCTGAGAAATTTCTTAAATGCTTCTTACTGGGTTTTCATATTTGGCAACATTACTTTAATTACATGGCAAAGTGTGATTTCTCCTTCTTGTCAGAGGTCAGTCTTTCACTACTTATCCCAAAAGACACTCTCCAAACAGGAGTTCTATTAGCGTACATCAGCTTCTGTGAATACTATGCCCTTTTGGCAATTTAAGCCTTGTTAGTAATATCATCAGAACACTAACCTCAGGATGTCAAGCTCCCATCAGTTGTGTAATTCCTAATATTGTGCGCTTTGAAAACATTTACTTTGGCATGTTGTATGTTGTAGCACAGAGAAGCTGATTTTTCTTGTGCTTACTCCCCATCTTACAAAATCTGTCTTTTCTCTCTTCCATTTAATCAAGCT